AGTCATCTAACTCACTCCGATCTCCTTCCCAGTACATTTTACTTTGTCCAAAACCTTCTCCTTTAGACTCTTTTACTATAAATCCAAGTAAGTCTTGGTTCCACCCAACAATAATTACATTCTTTATTCTCCCTGTAGTTTTTAGTGTTGGTGTTGCTAAATATTTTCCAGCTTGTGTTAATGCAATTTCTCTTGTGGCGTCATCAGATTGAATGACATTTTCTGTTGAAGAAATAAGTGGTCGAATAGTACATTCATCAAATGTCATCCATAAAGGGACTTTGTAAACCATAATAAGTCGTTGAGCTTCCGTTATAGAAGTAGTAAATTGCATAGAATTAGGAATTGAATCAACAGTAATTGGGAAACTTGTAGATGAAGAATTATTTTCTATGTATAAATCAACAACACAATGGAAGTGTTCAAAAACCATAGGAACAATATTGAGACCATCGGAACTAATGAAAGATTTACAGCTGTCTTCATTTTTATGTTCATTACAATAACTTTTAATGCATTCTCGAATCTTAGGACCAAAGAATTTTATATTAGGAGTGCATTTACCTTTCCAAATTCCTTTGGTTCTTAAGAAAGTCAAAAAATGGGTTTCTAAATAATCAGAAAAAGCAGAAAAAATATATGTACTATTTTTTGGAGGAGTTAGTTCTGTTTGAGCAATAGAATAAGTATCGATTAAATTAAAATTAAGATCGTTTCGTGCTTTAAAATCAACAACCCCATCAACTAATGAGAAGAATGAAATTATTGATAAAACAATTAACAAAAACTCGAATAAAATTAAACTACACCACAATAATATTAAACTCCAACTCTTGTATGAATGCGTTTTATAATGAAAACAACTCATTTATATTTCTATAAATTTTGAGATGTTATCTTCTTTTTAACTTTATGAAAATCCATAAACCAAAAAAAAAAATAATTATTAAATAATCATTTTAATATCTCGATTAACTACGGCTAACCTTTTGGTTGGTATTAGTACTGTAATCTTCTAAAAGATATTCATTATATTTGAAAAATAAATAACACTAATTTGTTATTTATTTTTGATATACTAATGTCCATTTAAATTAATTTAATAACTCTTAATGTATTGAATTGAGCACATAATCTTTTAAGTACCTAATTCATTTTTATGAATTTTTCAACTTTTGTAGTTATAGTATTTCTTACCACTTTAACATCTAACAACAAAACCTATTTCATTGAATTTTATAAACGAAATAAAATAAACATGGGGTTGTTAAATTAAACAAAAACACACCTCTTTCATTCTCTGTGAACTTTTTAATATTATTAAATGAAAGTAATTTATGTATTAAGTTTAGTAAACTGGTAGAGAAGTAACTAATAACCCATCATAACTTCTGATACTTGAATGAAAAATGAGACTATATAGTTTTTGTATTATAAATCAATATAAAACTATTGATAACCCACATTGTTTTAGGTTTTATTTAAAACAAACAACACTTCTTTTTTAATAAGCAACATTTGTCATCATTTTTAAATTATTGAAGAAATAAGAACAATAAGTTTAAAGTTTAAATTCAAAAAATGTGGTTGAAGAAATTGAAAAGAAATTTTAGAATAGCTTGACTACTTATAAATTTCTTTTTAATAAAAACTTTTATTGTAATATTAGATTATTAATAATGAAATTTTTTGCACTGAATAAATCTGTTTCAGAATTTAAAATTTAACTGAATAAATAATTAGTTAATTAAAATCTAATAGATAATGATAAAATACTTAAATCATCTAGTTTGATGAATCAAATGAAAAAAAAATTATACAGTTGATTGAATACCAAGACTTATGGGATTTATTTATCGTACAATCTAATTTTTGTAGATAAATTTATTTGGATAAAAGTTAGTGCCAAAACCTTTAAAAGAATAAGTTAACAAAATATAATTAAATAATTGGAATAAACTATATTACCCAAAGAAGTCAAAATTACTGTAATGAAATTTCATCAAAATTAATATAAAGAATTAAGAAAAATGGAAAGTGGGAGATTAGAACTGTATATTCTAACAGAAATTTAATGAAATTAAAATAATAAAAAATAAAACTAATAGAAAAATGATGAAGTATTTACCATCAAAAAAATCTCATTAACAAAAAGATTAAATCTTAACTAATAATTCACTACATCCTTATGCAACTTGTAGATTCTTTTGAAGGTTTGGATTACTCTTTTAATTTTAATTATTATTTCTTATTGAATAGAAGAAAATAGAATTTGGAGTGTAGACTATTCACCCAAAACTAATTTAATCTATACATCTTCTGTAGCACCTTATGTTTGTTTTATTGGTTTGTTTAATGCCAACCCAATCTAATAAGTAGGTTCACATTTATTCATTTGAATCAATGAAATTACTTCCTTTAAAACCATTACTTACACCTCATAATAGAACTATCAGAAGAGTTAAGTGCAGTAAAAATGGATTATTGGCTTGTTGTAGTTTCGACTCAACTGTCAGTTTATGGGAATTAAATGAAAATACTATAATTGGAACATTAGAAGGTCATGAATCTGAAGTAAAATGTGTTGATTGGAGTTTTGGGTCAAACATGGTTGCTACTTGTTCGAGAGATAAATCAGTTTGGTTATGGAAATCATATTCTGGAATTGACTATGAATGTTGTAGTGTATTAACTGGACATAATGGAGATGTTAAAACGGTATTATTCCATCCATCAGGAACAATATTATTTAGCGGTTCATTTGATGGAACAATAAAAGTTTGGAAAGGAGAAGAGGAAACTGAGTGGAGTGAATTGCAAACAATCCAAACATATGGAAAAACGGTTTGGGACTTAAAAATAACTAAAGAAGGTAAATTTGTAGTTGCTGGTTGTGCTAATGGAGTAATTATATTATATGAATTTAAAGATAATTTCTTAGTAGAATTAGATACAATTAATAATGAAAAGTATAGAGATATTTATTCTATTGACATAAATGACAATAACGTTTTAGTAGGATCAGGAGACAATGCAATTAGATTATTTAAAATAGTTTGTTTCATTTTAATAAATAACATAATAAATATTCACGAACAATAGAACACTGTTACTAAAAAGTTAGAGCTTATTAAAGAAAAACAAGAGGCTCATACTAATGACGTAAACTGTGTCAAGTGGATCAATAAAACTCTCTCAATTTCTGTAGGAGATGATAATATGCTGAAAATCTGGAAAATTGTCAATTAAAAATATTTAGTATTATAAAAAAGAAACCAGAAGAATTGAATTTGAACTTTGAAAAATTCATTTTTGTGTTTACTTTATTTTAATCCTTTTTAGAAATATAGGTAAAGCCATCAAACTTAAATTCTTGTCCACCTGAAGTATTTGAATTTTTTTCCTCTGCAATAGCAGCGTCTGTTTCTCCTAAGAAATATGGATCGATATTAGCAACATCATCAGCTGAATGAACTTGAGGGATATAAGGTGGAACAACTTCTTTTTTCATTAAACGATCAAAGTCAAGTCCTTGGAAGAATGGATGATGTTTCATGATAGTTGTATCTGTTAATCTTCTACTTGGGTTCTTTTCTAACAATGCATCAATAAATGTTTTAATAGAAGATGGTGTATTTGGTGGATATCTAACAGCTTCATTAACAATGTTTTGATACATTTCACGTTCATCCTCACTATAAAATGGTGGTATACCAACCATCATTTCATATGTTAAAATACCAAAACTCCACCAGTCAACAGCACTATCATATTTCTCTCCTAATAGAATTTCTGGTGCTAAATAAGCAGCAGTTCCACAAAAAGTACTTGTCATATCTCCTTCTCCTTTCATTCCTGTTTTACTTAATCCAAAATCTGTGATACATACATGTCCATCAGCATTTAACAATACATTTTCTGGTTTTAAGTCTCGATAAATAATACCATGTAAATGTAAATGTTCTAGTGCTAACAATATTTCAGCTGCATAAAATTTAGCACGAGCAATAGAAAATCTTCTTTCATTTTGTAAGTGATAGAATAATTCTCCACCATTTATAAAATCCATTACAAAATATAACTTATTCTCTGTTTGGAATGAATAATGCATATGAACAATAAATGGATTATCAATGGTTCCTAAAACTTCTCTTTCAGCCATTGTATGTTCAACTTCATTTGTTTCAACAACTGCTTTCTTATCTAAAATTTTCATTGCATAAATTTTACCTGTATCAATTTTTTTAACTAACATTACTTTTCCATATGTTCCTTTACCAATAAGTTTTAGTGTTTCGAAATCCTCTAGTTTAGGTTTTAATGCATTTGAAGACTGATCTATTTTACCACATTTTTCATCGATAAATTTTTGAAATATAGTTGTCCATTCATCTCGAGTAATCTCTGAATCAAAAGCTAATCGAAAAACTTTGGTCTCTAATAATATTTCTAACATAATTCTCTTCTTGTCTTCTGTTTTTCTTAAAGAACTTGCTCTATTCATGTCAACACTTCCTTTTTGGTCGGTTTCCTTTTTATCTGTAAAATAATCTAACATCCCATTATTATGAAACACGAACCATCTCTTCTTCCAATTCTTCACTTTACTTCCTTCTTTTATCATTACACCACGTTTTAATACATCAGACATTGTTGATGATCTGGTAATATAATTTTTTAGTTTTCTTCATTTTAAGCTCACATAAACTATATTAATATTATACTTTTATTATCATAATATTATATAAGCTATGTTAATTGCATGAAACAAACATAAAGCTCATAGAAAACAATAAACTCATAGTAGAAATTCCAAAAGTATTTCACTTTTTTACTCCATTCATAAAAAGAAAGAAAAAAGGATGTAACTTCAAGAAAAATATAAAATTTTTAAAGTTGTTGTTTAAATTAAATATTTATTCAGTGTTTTAAACAATTAACTGATACATCTCTTCCTTATAAATAAGTTCTCCCAAAAATACTAGCTGAATAACTATGAAGATTTTTATATTTAAAGAATTCTAAACCTCCATTTTCGTATAGAAATAAATTTAAAAAACTAATCATAATCTATGTTTAAGTTAAAATAACTTCTTTCTAAATTAGAAATTTTCAGTTTTTTGATTCTTTTTTTTAAACAATAATCTATATATTGTTTTAAATACTTCCTAAATATAATATTGTATTGTTTATATGACAAATTGTCTTATAGATAATCTTTTAAGAATAATATAACTATTTTGTTACTTAGATATATAATAAATATGACCATCCTTTAGTTTATTGTTAAACATCTATTGTTCTTTTTTAGCATAAGATAAATTATATTCTTTGAGAATAATACATAAAGCATATAAATGGTTTATTAAAAAGTTTGAGTTATGATAGACAATTGTTAACACTTTCTATATTTTTTTAATATTACTCTTTTCGGAATAACTTATTTGAATTTTTTTCAGTTATATATTAGTTGAATATTTCTGTTCATTTCCTTGTTATTTAGAAGTTATAATTTACTTAATACATTTATCAGTAATAGATTTATTTAATGACTAATTTGTTTCTCTTGATGTATTCATCTAATTTATTTTATTAATGACTATTTATGTGATAATGTATTGTAATATATATAAATTATTTAACAATTGTCAAAAAAAAAAAAAATTAAAAAGTATTATATAAATCAGATTGTATATTTATCATTATATTATATAGAATATATATTTTTTTCTTTATAGAGATTCAGAAGTATGCATACAATTGATCCTTGACATATTATTTGTTAATTTTTTAAGAGAATTTATGTCACAAACACTACAAGTATTAGTATTATTATTAAAACTTAACTTTGAACATTTTATATCTGAACATAAAAACAGTTTTTTCTGTTTGAGAAGAAAGATTAATACTTCCAAGAAATGCAACTGTACAATGTCTAGATATTACAACATACACTTCAAGCCAAAGCTTCAATTTGTTAATTATTGAACTATCGTCTTATAACTTTAATAATACTGGAATAAATAAAGTTTTACATTCTTTCGTTTCATTGAATAAAAGATTGAATTTAATAACGATAAAGTCATTCCTTTCAGTAATATTCCTAATAATATCAATCTCTTTTTTTCTATCTTGCAATGGTTCTGGAACTACACAATTTAAAGCTAATTGAATAGGAGTACCAAATCAACAAAAATCAGAGATATTCAATAGATTCTTTTATATCATATTCTAGAATGAATGGCTGTTTGTCACAATAAAATTAAGATATTTCTGAAATGTAAGAACAAGAGTTTAACCTATTGTAACTTCAATTGGTTTTCCATTATTAAAACTATCTTTGTTCCTGTCTAATAATATTCCCATAATACCAACACAACTATCCATTTTAGTAAATAATATAAGTATTTACATTAAATTCAATAACACTTTTTTCTTCAAATATTTCCAAATATAACTGTTCTTAGTTCTATTGAAGAGTTTAATTAAACTGAGGTGAGTTGAATTTAACTGGAGAAGCAACTTCATTGGTAGTAACCATTTATTTGAATAAAAGTATTTAACTCTTTTATATTTTAAATTTATTTTTATGAAAATTATACTTTCTTAGTTAAAAGACTTATCAAAAAAAATTATATTTCTATTCTCTTTATTTTGTTGAAATAACTCCATTTTATTCATAAATTCATTAAAATTTATTTAAACAATAAAAGTTTAAAATTTATAAAAATAAAATATAAGAGCAAGGATTATTTTTAGATAAACTGGAGTGTTAATTTTAAATAAGAAAGTAAAAAATAGAATGAATATCATAAAAAAGAAAAAGATGAAAAACTATTTGGAACTTTATTATTATTCAAAGAATAGTCTCATTTGTTAATTGATGCAAGAATTTGTTGAGAGTGAGAATTATAAAGCGTTTAAAGAAAATTTAGAAAATTTTTGTGAGGACACAAAACAATTAGAAAATGAAATTAGTGATCAAAGTTATATTAGAATCACATA